GTTATAACTGGAGAAAAGTTTGTTCTATCATTCTGAAAATTGGTCAACGACTACAAGGAGCAAATTTTGCCCCCGGATCCGAAAATTCGTTCCAAATTATTTAGCAGTTTGTCTCGTAGAAATGCATGAAAAAAGGATATTTTTGACTGGCTATTGATAAAAATACGAGTGCAGATGATTTTCTGCCTTTCAAACATTTTAAAGATTACATCCATGATATTTTCTAGCTTTTCTAGTTCTCCTTAAGAAAGGTGTTTTTTTCCAATTTTCTTATTTCATTTTTTTTTATTCGTTATTGGCAATAAAGTTCTGAAGTTATTTGTAACCACGCGTTTATTTTGTTGATGGTCATGTTTTTAAAAACACGAATCTATCAACTAAATAATTTAAAATCAACAATAATTGAAATAAAAAAATAGTTATATTGCAAAGCAAAGTTAATGGGGAAATAGTACTAATTCTTATGGAAGAAACGCTGACAATCGCAGCATTTTATTGATTTATGTTCATTTAAGTTTTTTTATTAGGTGATAACTTAATTCAAAAATATCCCTAAGCTCTCGAAAGAGTTAATTAAAAAAGGTTCTTATTCCAGAGAAAAATCTGCGAAAAATCACCATACTATAATAGTTTTCAATGAGGCAATTTTGATAATCTGTAGAAATTTAAATGATAAAAATGCTGCGTACTGTGAAGCAAAATTAATAGGGAAATGGTGATAAACCGTTTAGGAAAGCGAAAAAAAATCACCATATTTTTATTGACACCATTGATGTAAGACTGAAAAGTTAAAAAAAAGGAATTTAAACCAAATTAAAAGTTTTTTATTTGGTTTTTGCACTCTTACATCTATTGAAGGCATAAAAATGCGAAATACTAAATTACAGAGTTGGAATATAAACGATATACAAAGGACATACTCGTTTACGTAACATGTCTTCCTGCAGATCAAGAATAATTCCTGTGGCTGTCTATGAGACGTCCATGCTTGGATAAGCTAAGGATCAAATTATCCATGTTATTCCTCTTCATGTAACGCAAATGCAGGTTAGTTCCATAAAAAATTCCTACAAAGGCAAAATTTCTCCCAATACTTAATCCAGAAGCTCCCGCGTCTCCTTGTCTTCTGGATTGGGTTGAAAATTACAAGGCTACGGATTTTTTTCCTTTATAAACGGAGACAGCACCAACCCTTAGGGTTTACGTTATGTTAATGAAAGCTAGACTTCCCCTATGTATATTCTTTGTATGGATGTTCTGTGGGCGTCCACCGGGAGTCCATATGGACCTTCATGGATGTCTGCTGGATGTCACAGGATAATTTTGCTAGGTACTATTCATTTTATGGTAATTGCTGCAGTTTAAATAGGTACCAAATACATGCCCAAATTGAGACAATGTACAAACAAAGGTACAATAAATACAAGGTATAAAATATGTAGATAAAAAAAATCTAAACAATATATTGGTATATTTGATACGTATTAAAACTGCATGATTACTGGGAAGGATAAATACATACTGTGAAATGTTTTTTTTTAACCGTCTCTCTAAAAGGATATGTACCGGATTAAATCTCGAGATTGTCTCGCTCAATGATGCTAAATACAATTAATCTTTATGTTGAAATAGACTGCTAAAAACGTGTTTTGCTTGCATATAGTCTAATAACTTTCAACTTCGTGCGACGAACGATTAATCAGTTATCAGTAAAATACATTTTAATTTGAAATATATATTTTTTTAAACTTAGGTTTAATAATACCTATTGGATAAGATGTTCAACCTTGAAAATGAAATACATTATATATTTTTAAAATTATTACGTTTTCGAAAATGGTCAACATCGCAATAATGATAGTAATTCACTTTATTAATATTCATTTCCTCGATTTCTTTCATTAATAATCATTTTCACGATTTATTTCATTAATATTCATTTTCACGATTTATTTCGGAACTTAGATTACTTTTTACCATTATGGATGTTACATAAAGATTGGGAATCTTCTGATAATTCATTTACAATAATAAATGGGAGGATATGTCTGTGTGTGTCCCTCTTAAAACTCATCAAATGTTGCTTCGATCGTCTCTAAAATTGGACAGCGATTACAAATAGCAATTTTGGTGCCCGATCCTAAAATTCGTTCGCAATTTTCAATAAATTCGTTCGAAAGAGACGCATGAAAAATGGAGTTTTTTCCATTTTTCATAAGGCAAAAACTGGTAATAAAGTTCTTCATAAATTGTTAAACGCATGATATTTAGAAAAAAAAACTACTATTTAATACTATATGTAAAATTTTTTTTTTTTTTTGGAATTAGATATGTAAATAGATTTAACTGTGACGTTGTGTTTTGTGAGAGACCAGGTTCCTATTCATTATGCCGGGCTTGTAGTCCAACCTCTTAAATTGGATGGCTGTGCCAATCTGCCCTAAAAGTAAAGGCAGTTGGTGCGCAATAGTACTTATTTTGCCATTACCTTTCTATTTAAATTATAGATCTATAACATTAATGACTCCCTTGGAAAACTTAGCTGATACGAGAGTGTGTTGTTTTGGTTCATCGGAAAATTCTTGCTATTCTCATACTATCTAGATTCATAAATAGGGATAAAAAGAAATAAAATTAAAAAAGAAATAAAATCGGCAGAACTCTTGAAATTGAAAGGATGATTTCTGTATTAGTACCTCAATAAACAAAGTCTTTTGGGATGATATTTAATTACTTGAACATATTAGCTAAAACCATGGAATATTAAACTGCTTTTTAATTTTTTTATGATAAGTCAGAATGTTTTTAATTTCTGTAGATAATCCATGCGTAAAAATAATATCTTTTTATTTTCAAGATGTTTTAATTGATGCAAAATTTTAAGAATTTCCAGGTCACCATATAAACAAGGGTACAAATATTATGCACTTTGTTTAATTATAAATCTTACTACGATTTTGCTTTATGTTTACTTTTCAACTTTTATTGCAGAGCATTTTAACTATTTTCTGGTTCTTCCCCGCACTAAAATTCTGAGCAATATAAAATAAAATTTCTATCAATACATTTAAAGTAGTTTTTTAGATATGTTTATAGCATTTAATAAAATGAAAAAGAAAATCGGACATCAGTTAAAAATTTGCAACTTTTTCCAACACAGGAGTACTTAGATTTCAGTTTTTACTATTTTCAGTATGTTCGCAATAGATATTCGCGTTATTGTCAAAGTTCTCAATTTTAGTAATAATTTACACAAATCATCGTAAGTACGAATTCAAGACATTTCAGTATAGTAGTCTACAGAAGTATTCAAATTATTCCCATCACTGCCATGAGATAAGATAGCAAACTTATCCCGGTACTCACACACCTCTCTAGTCATAACTTGAGTATCGTACAATCGTCGCCAATAGCCCATTGTGCAGCTCTACAGTGCGACGTAAATTAACAATAACAATAACAACAAAGAGTATCTTACAATATATAAGCTGTTGCTCGAAAAAAACAATTATCTCCTTTACCAATAATTGCTATGTGCGTATGCCGTACTATAGTATTGTTTATGTTTAGAATTTTCAGTCTTTTTCGGAAGGATCAAAAATGAATCTAAGTTTTTATTTCTATAAAAAATGCACAATTATTCCAAATAAATAAACGTATAGCTAACTATTCAACGTTACTAAAACTATCGCTTAACACTACTTAACAAATTGAATCTAAATAAATATTCAGAATATAACTAATTGGGTAGACTATATTTGAGGATGTCCCTTGATTCTCGCCAAGTTGTGATCGCGGTTGTTGAAATCGATGGGTGGGCGATGTTGAAATCCAATCGTGATTCTGAATGATTTGGATTTTAGCATAATTTTTAAATGTTCAGCGGTACATGTAATTTTAGAGGTCCGTTAGTTCTACGTTTGATCCCGGCTGGTAAGGTTACTTTTGCTTCTGGTCGATAAGATCGAAGGTATGTGGGCAGTCATAAAAAGAGACTTTAGAAAAAAAATGTCACCGCCAGTCCGGTACCATAGACGCCATTTTTGATTCGTATTTCGCCGAATTTATGTGACGATGGAGTTACACAGATTCTATTCCTGATACATTTAGACAGTATCTAACTGCTATTAGAGAATTCTGTGCACCTAAATTTGAAGATATTCAAGCTTAATGAAGAAGTGAGTTGTTTTTTTTCCTTTTCTTTCTGTGCTTACTTATTACATTAATTTACATTAATTTTAGTTATACATTAATTTTTGTTTCGATTCAAAATGCATTTTATTGGGTTTATTAATTTTGCTTATATTGGGTCCATTGCAATTTTATAAAGTTTTGGCCGATAGTCTGTTGAAATTTTCTAATGTTTTATTGAAATATCATTATGTTTTGGCAACACCTCCTAGAAGTATGAAGGCTTCAGCACGGATCAATTTAGTAGTCCGATGTGACGAAGTTAACTGCGCAGTTGATGAAAAATAAGAAAGATGTCATTACGTTCGGGGTACTAAGCTGCGCAGTGGTTGAAAATACGGCATATGTCATTACGTTTGGACTACTAAAGGATATTTATGGTAACCCGTGCAGAGGCCTACTCTTTTCTAGGAGGTGTTGGTTTTGGCCGTCATTCCTGTTACCACGGTGTTCCGCGCAAACAGGTATGGCGCCAAACATTAGTCGCCAATTTCGCCAAGGGTGGCACCCTCAAGTATATTTTTACCAACTAATTATTTAACGCTTCTTTAATTATTCTTAAGACAGCCTAACAAAAATTATTATAGGTGATTACAGTGTTGCTAATTTAGAAAATGGAATATCCTAGTTTTTAGTTGCGCATAGGAGGAATAAATATAATGATCCCTTTTTTCTCTTCTGACGGACTCTACGTTGCTATATTACTTTGTATGAGTTAATAAAATTATTTAGTAATTATTCTATTCTATTTAATTTTCTTTTCATCTAAATTGCTGGCAACATTAGTGAAATTTACTTTTTATTTGCAGTTTATTGTTTCCCAAAGAGATACATCTTCTCTGTACTCTGCTTTTCGGCCTGCTGTTTAGCGGTCTCATTTAATATGAACTTGAGTATTGCCATAGTATCCATGATCAAAAAAGAAAGTAACCATGCAAATAACACAGTAATTATACCTACGAACTCATCGGAAGATTCAGTTATACGAGTTAAGGTAAGACAAATTTAATAAAAATGAGTCAGTTTCGCAACAAGGAGCTTTTGGAAACCGTTCTAAGTTATTCTGATGAGCCGTTCGAAAACAGACGGAAAAGTTTAATCGGTTTAAACTAAAGAAAAGAGTGGAGATATTCCTTCCTTTTCTCTTTGCAATAAATAAACGATTTTGTGTAAAATTCAAATGTTTAAAAAAAATGCACAGGAGTAGCATCCAAAGACTCCCTGTAGCGAAACTGACCCAATATTAAACTGATTTCTTAATAGTTATTAATCTACATCTCATTTGATCTTGAATCTAATAAAGATTAGAAAGTTACTTACAATCAAAAAGGCGTGGTAGGAGATTTAATTCTTCAAACTTTACATGAGAAAGCAAACATTTACTTATACAATTTATTTTATGGTTTCAAAATTCCTGTACCAGAAAATTACCTAAGAAATAAGAATAAATCAAATGTTTCAAGCTGATTTTCGTAGTGTGATTTCAAACACTCTAAAATATAAATATGAAGACAGTGCGACGAATCATTCAATGAAATCATTAGTAGGTATACGCAATACTACAATAATGAAGGAGATTTTCAGTTTGTACCATTTGTTTTTTAAATTTCTCAAGAAATACGTAAGAGTATTAGTTTTATTATCAGGAAATACTTAAGAGTATTTTTAAGAGGTAATCAGTTTATGCAATTTTTCATACTTAGCTATAAAGTTTAAAGCTTTTGGAGGTTTCAGGAACCTACGAAAGAAAAAGAAAACAAGGATTTCGTACACCCTATATCCGAAAATCAAGCAATAAGCCTGAAATTTGTACTGATTACTTCGATTGTTGCTTGAAATAACTGCATAACATTTATTCATAAACCTAACTTTATTTAGGGAGATGTGAACATTTTTACAAAAGAGCAATTTTTTTTGTCTTACGTTTTTTTGCGGTAAATTAAAAAATATATAAGACAGAATTTTTGGGACAATTAAAAATTAATTATAAAATTGTTTTAAATTAAAAAAAAATCGGTAGAAAATGCGCGATGGCTATTTAAATTAATTTCTTTACTGTGTACGCGTGAAAATTTTTTTTTCTTCATAATTTTGTAACGAATTATATTTTGCGCTTAATGAAAAAAGTCTGATTTGAATGTCTTAATTTAAAGAGTTTCAAGCAATTTTTTTCGTAGTTTTTATACTTCTTTAAAAAAAATACCCTCAAAATGATAAGGTATTTTCCACAAATTTCAATTTGTACTATAAGACAAAATTTAATAACAAATGATAACATCTTACAAAAATTGTCCGGACTCCAAACTGTGATGGTAATAGGAAGGAAAACATTATTGTATGGGAGATGATACCCCACAATGCCCTTGTCACTTTTAGTAAATCTTGTTAATGAGTTTAAAATGTAATATGTAGAAAACGCCTTATTTTGAGTTTTTTTAAAGTACAAAAACTACTTAGAAAATTGCTTGAAACTCTTTAAATTTTTAGCATATTTAAAGTAGACTTTTTTATTAGTTGCCACAAATACTCACAACAAAATTGCAAAAAAAAAGATTGTTTAAAGTTTTTCCCGTTTATTCACAGTATAAAAAAACTATTTTGAATAAATCTTTCGCAATTCGTAACTATTTTTTTTCAAGTTTTAAAACAATAATTTTAAAATTAATTTTTTAATTCCTCGGAAAATTCTGTTTAATTTTAGTGAATATTTTTAAAGTTATTCGCAAAAAATGTATGGTAAAATTAGTTTTTTATAAGAATGCCCATAACTCCAAAAATATTTAAGCTAGGTTTATAACATTTTATGCAGTTATACTGATTTTTTTGATTATTTGCAATAAGTTACAATTTTATTGTTTGATTTTCTGGCATAGGGTGTTCAAAGATACTTGTTTTCTTTTGTAATTTATTGTCGGTCCCTGAAATCTCATGAAAGCTTCCAACCTTTGCTAAGTAAGAAAAATTGCATGAACTAATTATCTCTTAAGTCACAAAATAATCCTCTAAGTATTTTTTGAGAAATTTAAAAAAAAATTCAAGAATTGAAAGTGTCTTTTCCATTATTGTAGGGTAGTGTTTACTTAAAAGCGATTTTGATATATTTCAAAGTACTAAGATACAATGCTGCTGATTGTAGTTATAAAACCAGTTGAATAAAAAAAGGAAAAGACAATGTATGGTTTTCTGCGTTCTGCTTAGGAGATATTGTTCTATTATTAATAAATTCAAAAATTAGTTAGGCCAGCGTTTCTCAACCTTTCAATATTCGCGACCCAGTTTTCAATCATAATTTTCATCGCGCCCCCCACTTACAGTAAAATGTATACAACAATAATGATTGTTGTTGTTGTTAATTTACGTCGCACTAGAGCTGCACAATGGGCTATTGGCGACGGTCTGGGAAACATCCCGGAGGATGATCCGAAGACATGCCATCACAATTTTGATCCTCTGCTGAGGGGATGGCACCCCCGCTTCGGTAGCCCGACGACCTGCGCGCGAAGTCGAGCACTTTACGGTAGCACAGTTTAACGAGGACCCATACCGCACACCGTCGGTCCCTACGCAGACTGATCCAAGTGGTCACCCACCCGCACACTGACCGCAGCCAGTGATGCTTGACTTCGGTGATCTGCTGGGAACCGTGTCTTAACGATCAGTCCACTGCGGGACACACACAATAATGAATATTATAAAACAATATTATTCAACAATAATGAATATTGAGTATTTTGAATTCTGTCCTTAAATTATTTTTAACTAACTGCCAAAACAAAAGTAAAATTAAAGCCAGCAGCAATTGAGATTGTTGAAACTGTGTTTGGAGTTAATTTTTCAAAACAATCACAGTCCATACCTCTTTCAAATGATACTGTTGCTTGTCGAACTGGTGATACAGCTGAAAATGTAGTGACAGCTTTTCTCGATGGTGCGTGACAAAATGTTTTCAATACAGTTCGATGAAGCAACAGATATTAATAAAGATGCTCATTTAATTGCCTATGTTTGATTTTGTGATAATATGTCAGTAGCATAACTACTTTTCTGAAAATCCATAGAACTCAAAACAACAGCGCTAGCATTATTTACTATTTTAAATGATGTTATGAATAAGGCAAACATAGAATGCAAAAATTGCATCGGAATATGCATCGATGGTGCTCGTTCAATAGCCAGAAGGTTAAAAGTATACATGCACTTGTAAAACAAAAATCGCCTCAATACGTCTGGACACATTGCATGATCCACAAAGAAGCTTTGGCTTCGAAAGAGATGCTGGTTTAAATATTGTGTTAACTACGGTTGTAACCGTTGCAAATTATATAAAAATGAGAACCCTTAGATCGAGAATCTTTTCCGCTCTTTGCAACGACATGGGTTCAGTACATTCAGAGTTACTATTTCAATGCGGGGCAAGATGTTTATCACGTGAGAAATTTTTGCAACGTGTTTATGAATTAAGAGAAGAAATCGCCATTTTCCTAGAAGAAGATGACAGAACGGAAACCGAAAATTTTCACTATTGTTTATTTGTGATGAAATTGAGCTACTTGATTGTCATATTCGAGAAATTAAATAACTTGAATCTTCAACTCCAAGGAGCAAATACACATATGTTGGATACGAGTGATAAAGTCAATGCTTTTTGTAGAAAATTTTAATTGTGCGGGGCAGAAATTTAAAGCAAAAAAACTTAACAATGTTTGCAAATGTAGATAATTGTACTAAAACTTATAAGGCTGAAGAAGAACATGTAAAAGTTCCTTTTGTAACCATTGAAAATCATTTAGCCATGATGGCAAGGAATTTTAAAAAGTATTTTCCAGCTGACGACAAACTTATTGCAAGTTACGAGTGGGTTAGTAATCTCTTTCATAAGACTCCCGAAGGACTCTCAATTTATGAGGAAGAAAAATTCATAGACTTCACGACAAGTGGCAAAACCAAAATACAATTTAGTAATAAATCACTATTTGAATTTTGGGCAGGGGGATGATTTTTCTGCACTAAAGACAAGGGCAATTCGCGTTCTATTAACATTTTCAACATCCTACCTTTGTGAAACTGGATTTTCTGCTTTGACTTCTTTGAAGACAAAATATAGATGACGGCTAAATATAGAAACAGAACTGAGAGTGACTATTTCTAATATTAAGCCTCACCTCAAAAAACTTTGCTCTGCGAGACAGGCCCAAGGAAGTCATTAAAAATTACTAATTTTTTTTAAAAATTTAGTATGTTTTGATTAAGTAAGGTGGGTAAGCCAAAGGTGGCCAGTGTTCCTAACGTAGCCCACCCCCTAAAGTAAAATTAAATTAATTTTGAACCATAAGATGTTCCCTGCTGCATTGTAAATCTTGTATCTGAGGTGCACGAGGCTGAAATGTAAGATATTTTATTGAATGGCCTCCATTGTATGAAGTGATCTAAGTTTTTGCAGTTGTCGTTCTGATTTCCGGATGATAAGATATTGTAATTTATATGTGTTTAAATTCTTATAACTTTGAGTTAGGATTTGTTTTCTGAAAGTTTATTTCGTTTTCTTTAGCCACATTACTTTAATTCAAATTAATCAATCAGATTAATAGTTTTAAGTCGCCAAGGTGGTCCGACACGGGTGCCACCTTGGAGACACGTGGGCCACCTTCGGAAACAAACGGAAATCTATAAAAGAGTTAATTATAAATCATTACGTAGCATATTATTTCTCAAAAAGGAATGATTGAATTGAATGCCAGTTGATTTATTTCATTTTAAGCAAATGTGGAACTTCGGTATTTTTTGAATTTTTATAATATTTTGATGTTCTCTGCACTTTAGTAGAGTTTGCGATATTTTGTTTCAAGTTTTTTGTATTGTTTGCATTTTAAAGTAATTTTTCAGGTATTTTTTTTATTTTTGTGGTGATTATGAGTGTTTTTGTGGTCGATTCTCGTATTTTGGTTGACAATCGCTGAGTTAGGCTGTTTATCATGACACTACAGACTGGAAAAACTATAGAACAATTTTTTCTGCTTTATGTATTAGATAATTTTAATTAAAATATTTGTTAAAATTAGTTGAATTTCTCCTCAGTTAACATCACATTGTTGCTGCTTATTGTGGTTTGCTGACGTTTTTTGTTTACAATTTTTCTCTATTAGAATCGCCACCTGCTGGCAAACATTTATACTAATTTTGAATTTTGCTGAGACTGGATAACTGGTTTCCCAAGCACAGCAAAGCAAACTACATTTTTGTAATATAAGAAATAATTAAATATCAAAAATTACAAAGTATTAAATATCATAATGCGAAAATAAATTATCTCTAAAGTAGATTGTATTTCTAATTCGTAGTTATTTAAAAACTTTTCCACAGAAATGACATATCATAAAATTTATTTAACTTACATATTATGACATCTTGAGATTAAATAAGATTAAAAATTAAATTTTCCAAATAGACATGTTTACGATGTTTTGAAGAGATCTATTGAATATTTTGAAACGTTCTCTTTTCAATAGTTGAACTTCAAACTTTGCAAGGAGTAACGTACTATTAATAACTCTCTTTCATAGGTACAAAACTTAATATGTTAAAGCGTCTAGTTCCATCCATTTTTCTCACTTGATTGTCAACTTTTTGGATACTCTATTGCGAGTCACTGAATTGCGAGCCAAGACAAATTACTGAAGTTATATTCCGCTATCATGGTATTATTTTGAACATAGTTCAGAAAAAAGTTTTTACATTTCAATTATGACTTTAATGTTATTTCTAATTCAAAAATGCGGGCCACTATCTGACACGTTCGGTTTCATAACTGAAAAATATTTGCTGTTTGTTCACAAATTGATACGCATTCAGATAAAATTTAGACAGATTTATTGCTTTTTTATAAATATTTCACAATCATTTTTATTTGTATATAAAAGCAATTAAAAATCTAAATCAGTGCGATCTGCATTGAAAAACTGTGCATTAGTGAACAATGTTGACTGATATTTTTTTCTTGGTCATTATAACTTGTATTACTGTGCATTTATTTTCGAAACCAAAGAAATCTTACTATAACAATGAAATGATATTTTTTCTACCTTCAAGCAATTAAACTAACTTCAAAACTGCATTCCGAGCGAACGAAACGAGCAAAATCCAAAATTAAATAAGTAAATTAATGAAAACCTGATTTAAGGTTGTAGGTTACATGGTATCCATTAATTTTTATTATAATTATTATTTTTAATTTTTTTTATTATTTAATTTCATTTATTAATTAGTATTATTTATTTGAAATCGAAACAAGTTTACAATCAAAATTCGCAAAAACAGCTGTCATTGTGTAATCCAGTACATCAATCGTCAGATTAGATTAAAGAAATCACAATAATTTCAGGAGCCATCTCTCCGGTTGTCATGGAGTAGTGAAACTGTTGGACTAGCTTTGGGTGCTGTATACTATGGGCAATTAGTATCTTTCATTCCTGGTGGTAGAATGGCAGAACTTTATGGTGGCAAAAACATGCTTGTTGGTTGCACAATGCTGGCATCACTAGCGACACTGTTGTCTCCATTTGCTGCTTTATGGAATGCATACGTTTTTGTTTTTGGAAGAATTCTTGTTGGAATTGGTACCGTAAGTCTTTACTCTAGAATTTACCTTATTGCAAACCTGTTTAATATTTTTCAGCATGCATAATTTTATAATGAAAAAAAAAATTCTTTTAACTTTAAGGTTAATAAAGGATGATAGTTCTTATTTAATTGAATGCACAAGTTTTCTTGTGCATAATTAATTTACTTCAGAACTTTATACTTTCGCTAATTTTTTAAACTTTATTTTGTGTTTACTTGGCATTTTTGTCTATCGCGAAACGCTATTTCGAATCTATTATTCGAATCTTTTTTGTATTAGTTTAACAATAGCTATATTTATAACTATACTTTTTAAGATTTTATTATACGTTCTCAACTGCTTAATTATTTTTTAAAAGCGCAGTCATCAATGTAAATAGCATAATCCTAATGGTATTTGAAATCATGTTATTATTTCGTAATTTTGAAATCATGTTCTTATAAACGCGTTTTTGAAACTTGTTTCCATCGGGATAAACAATTTAAAATCTATAGCAATTGAAATAAAAAAATAAAAAAAAGTTTTGTACTAAAACGCAAAATCCTTCGAGAATAGGTACGATTAATTGAGGGAAAGCTTAAACTAACCACCATACATTATTTGCGCCAGTATCGCTCTGTAAATTTCGGTCAATTTTATCTACTATATCAATTCTAGTCTTATAAGTTACCCACAATATTTTATTTTTCTTTTATATGTAGATTCACATTAAAGGTGTTTTTTAAATGTTTTTAAATTATTTCATTTATGATACTCATCATATTCATAAAATAAATGCATTTCGTTTTTTTTTGTATCACGTGATTGGAAAGAGTTTAATAAATTTATTTCATAAGCGTATTTTATGTTTAAATTTTTTTTGAAAAGTTATATTTTAACAATTATTTATTTTATTTATTTGTTTGATATATTTTATTTATGCATTTTATTTGTTTAATTTATTTTGCTCCATTTATTTTATTCATTACAATTATATTTGAAAAAAAAGATAAAAAACTTATTTTATTCAAGATTTGTTTTTGAATATTATCCTACATTTAATAATTTTAGGGTCCAATCATTCCAATTGTCTTTCACATGCTGGCTAGATGGATACCACAGCAAGAAAGAAGTTTCCACGCCTCATTCATAATTTCAGGTTATGGAATTGGATCCTTTTTAGCTGTAATAATATCTGGTGCACTATGTGGAACGAACTTTTTAGGAGGATGGCCAGCGGTGTATTATATTGGAGGTAAGTAAAAAAATATTTAAAAATAGTATATTTATGGTTTAAAATTTTTCTTCATAATGATAATAAACAATCACTGGAGTTTAATAAAAATTCATACCAAAATTTTGACTTGCTTCGTCGATACGAATTCCGCACCGACCGCAGTGTTGAAGTGATATATCCTCAGTGGTAGACGGATTATGGGTTAGAGTCCCCTTGTCGTCAGGCTAACCATGGAAGTTTTTTTGTTTTCCTCTACATGCAACGCTAAAGTGGGTTAGTTACATCAAAAAGTACTTCACGAAGGTCAATTTCTCCCAAACTTTGATCCAGGACTTTCCTTTTCTTCTGGATTGAGTTAAAAATTACAAGGTTACGGAGTTGAACGTTAGTAGTCGGAAACCTCCAAAAATGATATTGGTTGCTTAAAAACGATTATGAAATAAAATAATTCTTAAGCGAAGTGGTTTTTTCGTTTGAGGAATAAAGTCAAAATCCGGAAAACTTAGGCCCGAGGAGAATTATTTATGACACAGAACTCCCCTGCCATATACATCTTTTTCTTCACTGATATCAAACAGGCCTACTTTTGTCTATTGCATTTTGGCATTTCTGAACTTTGTTACCATATTATCATTGTTCTGTTTGGGCTTAGTCACCCTATTATCATTGTTCTGTTTGGGCTTAGTCACCATATTATCATTGTTCTGTTTGGGATTAGTCACCATATTATCATTGTTCTGTTTAGGATTAGTCACCAGATTATCATTGTTCTGTTTGGGTTTAGTCACCATATTATCATTGTTCTGGTTAGGCGTATGTTGCAGCACCATCTAATAAGAGAAAAATTCATTTGCTCTTAAGTAGGATGGGTGTGTATTGTAACCAATGCTGCATTATTCGAGTTCGTTGCATATAGTGTCTCAATAGAAATTTTGCCAATTAAAGTTCAGAATACCGTAGCTTGGCAAGGACTTGGTAGAAATTTTATTTAATACCGTAGAAGGTTTTCATTCAATATTATTTTCTTCCTTAATACAAAGTAAAGCAGTTTCTAACAGCAGGTCATGAGCTGTACTAGAAGTAAGTTTATTTTCTCTAGAAAAAACATAGAAATAAACGATCGTATAAATCTTATGCTCTTGTTCTTATTGTAAAATAAATAAATGAATACTAAGTTTTAAGGAAAAACAAGTTTTAATATTATGCAAGCTGGAACATTTATTTTGTTTACTAAATTTGTAAGCCTACCAAAGTTTTTTACAACTTGTGTAATTACGAAGTATGATACAGAACTATGACGCTGTTTCTTTGTCAGAATTTTTCTTACATCTTAAATTGTTGGCCGATTTTTTTATCACATGAGTATAATTACAACTGCATATCTTACAGCAAGAAAGCTTTCAGTAATATTTTAGCAAATTTAGGAACATTCGCCGTAAAAACCATGGCAAAAAAAGAAAACTGTGAGCGAAATATACTTTTATACTAAAAAAAGTTTTAATCAATGACCTTCCAGCTCTATTCAAACAGTTAATCGAAAATATTTTTTATAACCGAACTTTTGAGCCTCTACCTAAAACACTTAAAACCTTCTTCCACTGAGCTCTTCAACTATATGTATGTTTCATTTAATTTAATTATTTAAAATTTGATATATAATTATCTTTAAAGTTTTGAAAACATTTTCTGTTAAACTAATTATAAAATGGAATATTGATTGATTGAACCTTGACAAAGAAAATAAATTTTTGAGAATTCAGTTAATTTTTTAAATAATTGAGAATATTTGGTTTTTAAGTGCTTTTATACTTTATTTCTTGTTACATCCTAGAGGTTAGATCATTCACAGTTATGCCATTCACGAAATTTAAGTTGATTAGTTTGATTAATTTCACTACAATAATGTTCTAATATAGAATTTTTTTCATTTAGCCATCTCTGGAGTTATTTGGTCATTTGTTTGTGTTTATCTGATGTCGGAAGCTCCAGAATTTCATCCGAATATTAATGAAAGTGAATTACTGTACATTCGACAGAACTTGGGAGCCCACAATACAGAAAAGGCAAGACAGATTTCTTAATTAAAATGTGCTTTGAAACATTTTCTTTTAAACAGATATATTAGAGTTTTAAAAGAAAATTTGGGGGAGTTTTACAGTAAAAATTCTTTTAAAATATTAGTTTTCAGTGTATGAAAAATATTTTTATCATAAAAATGTGTCCCATATCCTTCGCTTACTTAGCTACACTATAGTGGTAATTTTCAGTGAAAATACTTCCTTCTTGAGAAACTTACAGGATCTACAAAAAGTTAGATACAAAAATGTGAAACATAAAAGATTTGGTAAAAAATTTCCTTTTATTACAATATAGCTAAGAATAGGACGGGAAAACACGCAGTTGTTTCTACTTTTCAAAAGAAATAACTCAAACATTGTCCCAAATTTTAAAATAATAAAGATATGAAATAAATCGAAATTAGCTGAATGTTATAATTCCTTTAGCCAAAACATTTGCCAACAAATAGAAAGATAGAGAGTAATGATAGAAGCTCTATGCTCCAATTCGGAATGAAATGGAATGTGTGCATGTATTGTGTCAGAAAAAATGTTATTTGAATTTTTCATGAGTTTTGAACATTGCTTGATAAGTAACGCTAAAATCAACTCTAAGCAATTGTACTGTAAATGGGTTTATCAGATTTTGCGTACGCACTTTATCACTAAGATACAGTTGGTTTATAACGATATTCCACAGTTTGTCTATGGAAAGAACTCCCTTCGCTATTTGTCTGGAAAAGTGAAGGTGACTATAGTTACATGTTTTAACTATTTAAAGTAGGGGTTTTGGGTCAATATTCCGGACAGGTTTCTGCGAGAGAAAGGGAATCGGGGGGAGGGGAAACTCCTCTCTTTAAAATGCACTATTTCTTGTTTCCATAGCAGCAGACGATCTTAGATTTTGTGGCGTGGGGAGTTATTTCTATAACAATACAAGGAATTGAAACTGATAATATTTGGGAGTTTTATGAACTGAGGAGTTTAAGTAGATTAAATCTTTTTGTTTTCTTTTTCCAGAAAAACTGATGATGCTTTTGTATTAGATAATGACAACAAACATTTATACTCATTTAATTAAATACTGATAAAAGATAGATTTTAAATTAATATGGTTTTTAATTTAATTTCTTTATATTTCAGATTACAAATATTCCTTGGAAATCTATGGCTCTTTCTATTCCATTTTGGTGCTTAGCTATAGGATTTTTCGGCCAATTTTGGTTGTTGGGATTTTTTTCTACCGTCCATTCTTTGTATATGGGAACTGTCCTTAACCTTCCAGTGGCCAAAGTATGTTCTGTAATAATATTATTTAAATCATGATAGTAAAAAAGTATGGAAGTTTACTTAAAGTCAAATTACTTTAAATTATAAATCAAATTATATATTAATTTCAAAATTTACTCGAGGTATTAAGGTTTTAAGACTCAAAAACATTTCAATACCCAAAAGTCTATTGTGAAAATCAGCACGACCACTTTGAAATATCATAAAGAAAGTATTAAAATAATAATAAAAATTCTCTGGGAAAGACACAATGTTATAGCATTTATTGAGCCTTCATTGGGACTTTTGCTTGCAATTTTGAATATTTTTCATGTATCTCAGTGGCCATGGTGAAAATGGCTACAAAGATTTTGCAATCCAAAATTTTTTACAATTACGTATAAATAAGTACAACACAAATTTAGTTTAGGCATTGTTTGATTTTCCAGGTATCTGTTTTCGGCCTTTTTAGGACATTTAAAAGTAGATTATCTTAAATAGTTCTGGTGTAGCGAGAACGGTAAGTTCCATTAGTTGTTTAGCTGTATTTAGCTAAGAAAATGAAGTAATAATAATTGACTCTTGAATTTTAATGAGGTCTAAAAACTTACCAAATCACCAAAAGATTTTGCACTCAATCCTCACTGTAGATAATTATCTCTGGCTCAATTCATTGTAGCTCGTTTTTAATTTTATTTCCGAAATTAATCACAAAAGAGGTAATTAAATTTTTTAATTAACTTTCTACATTTTTTTTCAACACCAACCCAATTCTGAGTTTTCGACAATCAATATTCAACTCTGTAGCCCTGTAATTTTGAACACAATTCAGAAGACAAGGGAATTCTTTTACCAAGCATTTGGAAGAATTAGTGTTCGCGGAGGACTATTTAAGGAACTAACCCTCATTTGCGTTACAAGGAAGAGGAAGCAACGAAAACCTTCCATGGTTAGCAAGACGGCAAGTGGTAGACTAGACTGTACATTCTATCACTGAGTATGTTTTAAGACAGCGCTGTGGTCGTTACGATCCGAGGACAGAAATCATATCAACCAGCCACCACTGGGATTTAAACCTGAGTTACCTCCAGTCCAATTTTCTAAAACTCATTTAAATAGCTCTCATCAACTCAGCTTTTCAACTTTATATATTGGTAAATAATGCAAAAGTGTAAAATTCATCATTGTTACCAAGTTGAGGATTTGAATATATGACGATTTCATGCTGCACTGTTAAACTTTTCATTTAAAAAGTATGGTAAAATAACAGGCAGCTCTCTGTCCATCTGATTAACCGTAAAGTTTACGGTAAAGAGCATTTTTTCCCTTATGGTTTGAAACCATTTACAAAAAGTATGGTTATAAAACCATGAATACAAAACTATACGGTTTTTTAACCATTTATTACTAGCACTTTTCAAAAACGTAAAAAAAAACCTAATTATTTAACTAGACATAGGAGCTAACTAGATATAGGTAATGGGCATTGGAGAGTGCCAGACACTCGAAATTCTTCATATGTTGAAGGGAATGGGAGAAATATTGTGGTGTTAACACTAGGACTCGAACTCCAGTTCTGCCGGTCATGAGAGTGACAGATAAGCCTGCCCAGCTATGATATGTATGCAATTGCAAAGAACTAAGTAGCTTCATTGGGTGGTTCTAGTTAGTGCTGTAAAATTCTGGTTGTTTAACCTTATTAGGTGAAAGCAGTTAATAAACAGTTTTCTCACAATTAGCAGTTTGATTATCATTTTATTTATTGTTATTTTACAGTTTTGATTAAGTATGGTAAAATAACCATTCAATAAATTGTTATTTAGCCATTTTTTCCGAGAAATTTCTAACAGTGTATGTTTTAGTGAATTTGAGTATGAGCCTTTAAAGTTTTTACTTTTCCCTTTTTTGTGAGTAAGGTGATCAAGATTACGCTCTTTGGTGAACGCCATATGAAGCCACTTAACTCCTTGAAACTAAGTATATATTTTAGTTGAGGGGGTTCGATTCCCAGCGTAGACACCACTATATTTCCTCCATTCCTTCAACACGTAAGGCGCTTCCACTCGTTTGCATTTAGAGTCTTATTCGAAAGCTTCTTATTGGTGAAATCTTTAACTCACTTAAACTATTCTCATGTCAGTGTTCTTAAGTCTTGAAAATATGGCTTTTCAATTTACTTTCAGGTCCATATAATTCTTGGCAGAAAATGTGATTTTATTTTTAAAAAAACTATGAAAAATATGTTTTAATAAGGCTACTTGTTTTACATTAAAGTTTTGTTAATATTTTTATAGAATGGCCTTTTATCATGTTTACCTCACTTGTTAAGAGCCTTTGCTACGGTTATGGCTAGTTACCCTGTAGATATTTTGCTGAAACGAAATCTTGTGAGTGTAGGATTCGTCAGAAAAGGAGCTACTGTTATAAGTAAGTAACATATCTAGCCATTGTTATTTCGTCAATTTACAATTCTATTAACAATTGTGATATTTCAAACTTCTTAATAATTAATAAAGAATTTTGTGTTATTAATGTTCTTGATAAGGATTTCGTACGAAGTTTACCGACTGTTATTCTTCCTTACTTATTCTTCCTTATGACTGACTGTATGAAAATTTAATGATTGTTTCCCAATTAAAGAAAAAATTGGAGCTTCTATTTGTTTTAAATTTTGTGCAACTTTAAAGAAAAGAATTTGCAGTTATAATTACTATTGTAAAAAGATAAATAATATAGATGATATTTTTTTATGTGAACTAAAAGATTATAAAGTTTTTATTAACAAAGAATTTTCGCACATTGTTGCAGATGACCTTAACTTAATCAGAAATGAAGAATTGAAGTTTTATGGGATTTGAGATGAAGTTTAGATTAAAAAAAGTATAATTTAAATTTTGTTCTCACTTCTATTAGTAAAGATTCTGATTGTTTTATTGCAAAATGTTCTAGAAAATTTAATTGGCCCGTTGAAGGATTTCGTGAATGGATATTTTGTGTCTTAAATTAAATATTTTAAAAAATAATATTAAATACCAAGTTTTTCATTTGAATTCTAATATTAAATATATTAAGGAATTGAAATATAATTATATTATTTGCGTTGTTGACAAAGCATCTAATAATTTTTGCTTTATTTGCAAACTTTTTAAACACTTAATGAATAAAGAATATGAAAATAAAATGCTTTTGCCAAAATTAATGATTCTAAAAAAGAAATTTACAATCGAATTTCAGCTTTTTACAAAAAAATTGGTTTAAAAATCAATAGCATTAAATACTTTATTTATTTCCAACAGTTAAATTTCACAAAATGCCGATTAAATCTAGATTTGTTACTTGTAGTACTGGATCACATAATTCTGCTTTTGGAAAAATGTTTTCTAAATATTTAAACATCATTTTAAATAAAATTATTTCGAATGAAAAACACTTCATTATAAATAACAACCAAGACGTTATTAAATATTTGAGTTGTAGTCAAATTATAGAAATTCTTATCTGTGATTCTGAAAATTTATTTATGACTATACCACACAATAATTTAGGAAATATTTGTTTAGAGATTTTTGATACATATTTGATTAATGAGGGTATTAGAGAGAATTGGATTAATTTATGTAATGTAAACATATTTGAAAAGTATTTCTTTAAAGGTATTCGGTTTTACAAACTCGAATCACAAAAAATGTTTTTTTTTATTAAAAAAATAGCATAAACAATTACAATATTGTTTGATCTAAAGATTGGAAGATAGATGTAATTTTTTTATTTATTATTTACAATTTGTTCCCAACATAACACGAATATATTGCCACATTTTAAAGAGAGCGTTGGCTAAGAAGCATGTTCAGGAAATTTTCGATGGTAATTATTAATATTTCCCTTCTATTTTTCTGTAAGTTCAGACATGAAATATATAACATTAAGTTTTTTTTCTTCTTCTTTGCTTCAACTAAAGCCAAACATACGTTTGCGCGATAACAAAAAAGCATTTGTTCAATCTAATTATGAAAAATTAAAAAGCATTGTATTGAATTGTATTAAAAAACAGTGATTTAAGATTAGGTTATATTGTTCTCAGTAATATTATTTCGAGTAAATTTTACAGGTTTAATAATGTTTGCAAAAATATGAAATGATTTGTTTCTTCTATTTTTTTCAGATACTGCTGTTTCGTGTGGAGCATTTATTGGAATTACGTATGTCGGTCGTAGTGTAACATCAACAACAGTGCTATTTATGCTCGCAGGTGTTTTGGGGGAATTCGTCACATTTGGTGTTTGCATGGGATGCATAGATATTGCCCCTAATTTGTCTGGTAATTAGATAATATGTCTGTATAAAAGTCTGAAAAGCTATTTATTATTTTCTCTAAATGTATGTTAAAAGCTAGCATTTAATGTTAAATGCATTGATTAAATTTATGAAACTTATTTTAAATTGTAGTACTGTAGAATAATAGCGAGCACTGTAGAATAATAGCAAAGTGTATAAAAATATATTATAAATTATTATCGATTTTTTTTCTATTAGTAACAGAGTTAGTTACCAGAAAAAAACTTTAGAATCCCGCTTTGCCCACCCTACTCTTATACTAATTTTTGATATTTCTTTGAAATACATTCAAAGTATAGAAACTTTGATATATGATCAATGGAAAAATTAACATTTAAACTAAAAAACACGAAAATTTGAAACATAGATATAAATATATTTGTAATGTATATAATATATATATTTGTTTATAAATATATTTGTATAAACATTATGAATATAAATAAATAAAATGAATAACATAAATGCTTATATAAAGTACATAATTTTAATTCAGAACATATTATTTTGAAAAAAAAAATACTTTGGATTTCTTCCAGCTTACATTTAGTTTAAAATAATTTTCAATTTCTCTAGTCAGATTAGTTACATTTAAATGCAATTATAATTGGTTTTGTCTATAAATCTTAGTAAATTTGAAAAATATTTTAAGAATGGAAGGAGAAAGTAGCTATCTACATGAAATTATCTATAGCAATAAATTAAAAATTAATTATTTTTTATGGTAAATCAGGATTGGCATGGTTTAAATCATGTGCTATTTTAATCTCTTGATTTTTTTTTAAATATTTGAATCAATTATGATTTTTTTAACACAATCATCGAATTCAGCAAACTGATTTTGAAAAAAAAATCTTATGTCAAAAATACTTTCGTACTTTATTATTTAAGCATCTGCTCTTTATGTTGTGATTCTTTATAAAGTTTGATTTCATTGATAACGAAGGCTTTATCCAAAAGGAATAATGAAAAGAAATTGTATGTAAATTATTATATATCAAAACAGACAAGTATAAAAATAAAATTAGAGACTAAAAGAAGATAAGAGTTGCTTGAAATTGTTAAGATATATTTTCCCACTAGTTGTGTGTAAAATAATTTGCAGATTACAAACACATTTCATTTACGCCATTTAGTTTTTTTTAATACAAGTGCTATTAAAATTAATGTTGTTGTTGTTACTTATGCCACTCGGCAAGACAACCAAGCCTGCTTGGGAAATCAGGCGAATAGTTTAGGTAGAGGGTGCGTTTCTGGTTTTTCAGTGGCACCGTCTATGGTCAAGACCCATGTCACATCCCGTTTTACAGGGAAGACGCAGTCATACTTCATTAATTTATCCACAAATCGTAATTTTGACCTGAACAGAGAACGATCAATTTCCAATTCAGTACCCACAGAAGTATTGATTTGTTATGGGAACGTGGAGAACTTCGCGATCCTGACAGATTTAACGTGTACCAGTCAGCATTTAATACACAGGGATTTTTCGGCTGGTGGGATTTGAAGCCACGTTCTCACGAACGCGAGTCCAACGTCCTGCCAACCAGGCTATCCCGGCCCACTTTAAACTTATCAAATATGTAGTTATTGCATATCAGTTATGAAAAAGACTTGTTCTGCCCAAAGAATTTTTTTCTTTAATGTATTCTGATAGAAACTTATTTACTCTTCATTGGATATCAATTAACAAATTGCTTCTCTATCTTTAAAATTTTAGGATGCTTAACTTGAAGAAAAATAACTGTGTTTATTTTTTTAGTGATTTGTTTGTGACAATTAAGTAATAATTTTTGAAACATTAGAAAACTTTTTTTTAGCTATATTATTGATTTTAAATAAGAAGTTTTATTAACACATTTTATTAGTTGATTTAGCGAGCAAATATAAAAAAATCAAAGAAATCTGATTTAAATAACATAAATCCTACTTCTTTTTACTTACTTTTAAAAAATTATAATTTTTGCCATCTCTGTCATAAATATCGTAAATTGGGATTATCTGCAAAGTATTGTCAGTAATTTTACTGTGAAGCGAATACGCATGGTTCGTCTCAAACTCAGTAAGACCGTAACTTTTCTCATGATTAAGACAGTATTTGATTATACCAAGTTCTGTTCAAGGTTCAAGACAAAATTTGAAGGTCGTGAAGAGACATTAATGAGCTACGACTACTGATCTCTTAAAATATCGTTTTAGTATTAATTTGATGGTACAGGCTTTAAGCATTCCAAAAAGTATCTATCATATAATTGTGATGAAAAATCCACATGCGAGTTCATTCAGCAAAAAAAGCCGCCGCCTTTCTTGATCATGTGTTTTTGAGCGATTCAAAGGTGCCAACAATTTCCTCACTTGAGAACTATCTTTAAAAATATAATTTTGGGGAGATTTAAGGGAATAAAAAAGGCTTGAATGAAGCTTCTGAAGAATATTCTGGGATAGGTTGATCTGAAATCTCATAAAAATCGTGTATCTAAAACAAGAGGAGCTTATTTCGAAGCATTTTAATGTGTTATACAGGTCAGATCAATTAATATTTAGTAACTGACGCAATGACAATAATTTTCTGCCAGACTTTGTATTTATGTTGCAGTTAGTAACGTTTTGAAGTTGTTGTTTTAAGATTTCTCAACTGTTTCACGGATAAAAAGAAAAAAAATACTCTCATATATTTTTATTATGTACAAATACTGGTATATATTTTTTTGAGTACAAATGTCGTTATATATTTTTTTATTGAGTTTATAATTTAAGAGAATAATTTGGTTATTCGTTGGTTGTCATTTCAGAAGAATCTGTACATGTCTAGCTTATCTCTTTATAAATTTTTGTTTACTTATGTTTAATAAATATAAAAATATTTTTAGGTACAGTAAGTGGACTCTTAAATATTGTTGGAGTATTCCCTTTCTTCATAATACCTTCTATGGTAGGATGGCTTACAAACTATGAGGTATAAATTTTATCCTTTACATGTTATCCTTCATTCCTTCCATTCGTTACATGTTATTAAGTTTTAAGAAAATTAACAAGTGTTATGCTTAAGAATATTGTAAAAGTATTAATGTCAATTTCATACATTTTTATAATTTTGAAATTTATAATTTTTTTATTGTTTTCAACAAAAATGCAGAAATTAATTTATCATATGGCATTTTTGAATTATAAATTTGTGTTATAAAGATACTTGTAGATATTTTTATTTAGAAAAAACAGAAACAAATTACCTTGAACAAGCTAAATATTACTTCAAATATGAATTTTTCTAAGCGTTTTCCGGTAGGAATTGATAAGACGCAAGTCTTATCATAACATTTAACATTTTAAGAATGCTGAAATTATATAACACTGTTTATATGTGTAGACACTATGATTCAATTTTTGTGGAATTAAAATTTGAATACAATAATGTGTATTAAGTTCTTACTTTATGTAAAGTGTTAATATAGATGTATTTATATTTTCAGAATTCTATTGAAAAATGGCAATCTGTCTTTTACGTCACAGTTATAATCGTATGTGTGTGCACCGGTGTATTTGTTTTGTTTGGTGATTTAAGACCACAACCTTGGGGCATCCTTGAAAATAATGAAACGAATTCTAGTAATATCTCTGAAATGAAAAGTGGAATTATGGAAAGCGATAGGTTATTGTTGCCAGTTAAGAAAGATAGAAGGCTGAATTCTTGAAATTCTAATTTTTATTAATAGGAATTTAAATTTAAAACCTTTCCTTTTCATTTGGTTTCACAAAAGCAATGTAATGAAACACTAGTTTTATTAACTTATATGACTATTGATATCTATATTTCTACATTTAATCTAATTAGGAATGCCGTTTACATTTATTGAAAGTTGTGACATATTTTTAACTGTTTTAAAGTTTATACTTTCTGTTTTAAAACTTATGCTGTAATATTTTCTGGATTATTTTAAAAACTAATTTATGATATGAATTTATAATGGTTGCATGTACATATGTATTGTTTTGTGATATTTATGGAGAAATTTTAGAAGAAAATATTTTTAGATTTGCTATATGCTAGAAGTAAATACTTAAGTGCAACAAACTAGATTGCTAAGAAATGTTTCAGATTTGTAAACTGTTGTGAAAATTTGCTAAGCAATTTTTCTTATGCTGCAAAGTGTAGTGTGAAAAGTGCAAGAAAATTTTTACATTTAGAAAAACTCTTTTATCTGTGTTTTACATTTCGAATTTCCCAGTAAAAAAAAAATCGAAAAATTTCAGATTCAGTAAATGTAAAGCTAAATTATTTACACAAGTAACAAGCTTCACTGTAAAATGTTATTTCATAAGAAATCGCAAATTTTTGTTTATTGAAAATTTGTTATTTATGTCTGAAACTTTCGAATGCTTTTAAATTAACCATTATGTTTTTTTTAAAAGTAAGTCTCGTGCAAAAGAAATTGCGAATAAATTACTATTGAGTTTAGGTATCAAACTAGAAACCTCAAGTTATGAGGTATACCCCATTAATTCCTAGAGGACTAGGTAGTTAAAACCAGTATTCGAACAAGACAAATTTACAACGAAAACTACTGTCTGGCAAAAGCGGGATGAGTTCCCAGACCTTTTTGACCTTTTGAAAGCAGCCTGACTGAGAGCTTATCTTTTTTATTGCTAGTCTATAAACCTGCCAAGCACTAAATTGAAGATCTGTTACAAATGCTTTGGAGAATTCACCTGTTGCTAGTTTTGTGAATAAGCAATGTGAGGAATCAAGTAAAAAACAAAAGTATAATCGAAATTCGCTGAAAAAGTTGAGTCAATGCACAAATAATTTTGAGATTTTACCTATACAGCTAGTAATTAGTAAATGAAACATGTTTTAAAATATATTTTTTATCTATACCAAAACTGAACATTTTTATCTGAAATATTTTTATGCCTAATAAATATAAAAGATTTTAAAATGAGTAGAAATTGTGTTGTAAAATTATTGACAGATATTTTTAAACTTCGGTTACGTGGGGATAAAAGTTTTTGAAATAAAAATATAAATTAAAATTACATGAATGTTAAATCTAAAAAATATTTTAGTACATTAAAATATGAATGTTTTTACACAAAACTAATTAAAAAAATTGTTTTTTTTTAAAAAAAAAGTAAGTTTGTTGGTGGTCATTGTTTTATAATGAGCACTTTTGAATGCGCATTTGTTACACTTTCAAATTGTTTACCTAATTCTAATTATTGTGAAGAGTTTTGTGAAGAAAGTTTTATAAGAACTTTTATTTACGTTTTATGTTAGAATTCTTATATTCTCTTTGTGTTTTTTAATAGTTCATTGTAATGAAACATACAATGAAAATCTTCATCATTTTTATAAAAATAGCGAAAAGGTAATTAAATTTGAAATTTTATATTAATTCTTTTTAGTTGTTCAATTTTTTACATTAATATTTTTAATAACAATTATTGTGTTATTTAAATGATGGGAAATTTGTGATCAAATAAAAGAATGCAATTTGTTTAGTGTCATTTTTATAATAAATTGTCCTATTCCAAACAAGTAACTATTAATAAAATAGTCTTTTTCTGAAATCTTCCAAGCGACGACAATATTAAACGAAACTAAATATCTTACATTTTTTAAATCATTAAACTAAATCATTGTAAGTCGTTTTTAACTAACAAAATATAACCGAGTCTTAAACTTTTTTTCAATTTTTTGGTTTTCTAAATACTAACAAGTCATAAACATTATCAGAAATGATTAAAATTCACAAATGATTTTTCGCAATTTTTAACAATACAAGCGAAGTGATAAACTCACTTTAGTTAGTGATAAACTTTGCCCCTTTTAAAATTATAACTCACTTAGTAGCAAAAGCATAAAACACGATTAACTGTAAACACTACAATTCAGAGAAACAATGACTTCTTTTCAAAGAATTCAGAGGTTGAAAAAAATCCTCGATTTTTCTAGAGAAGAATAATATCTTTGCTGTGTGTGCCCATTGAAACAAACGGAAAATTGTAAACATCAAAAATTTCCCTCGCTAATGTAGCAAAACAAGGAAATATTCCTATGAAAATATAGAATATAATGAATTGAATTAAAGCGCACTAGATATTTTGCCACGAGCTCTTTTGTATTTGATTTCCATTAATTCTTCCACAATGCACTCAGCAAATATATAAAGATATTTTTCAATTCAAAGAAGCTGATAACAAAATAGCAACACTTAACCTTTTATTAAACATATTTTTATATCTTTTTCATCATTTTGTATTAATATGGGACAAAATAAGTGAAAAATATTAAACTTACCATTCTAATAATTTATAGTTATGAAATAAATCATGAAACAACGGTGTCTTATTTTTCTGCGTTAAAGGTGAAACTTTCCAATCACGGCTTACTTGCAAACAATAGTTTTTCAAGTTTGCACTTATTTACTGTTATTTAGATTTAAGAAAAAGTTATTTATCATGGAATTTTCTTTATTTTACAAAATCAATCATTGATAAGTTTCTGGGTATGAATGTTTTTTTCAAACTACTTTTTTTGAATTTTATATTTTAGTACAGATATAATTCCGAAATTCTAACCGATTTTTTAGTAACTATTTGACTATATTTTATGATTAAAAAATACCGAAATATAGTTTTGCTTGTATTTAGAGCATCAGAAAAAATATATTAAAAGGGATGCCAGTGTCCCACCTGCGTCAAAAGGTAAAGCTAAATATTTTATCATGTGATTTTTCTTTAGGATAAAAACTAAAAATCTGAAATGCTCTTGATTTCCGAAATCTTCATTTTAGATTCGATTTTCAGTTTCTCCTGTGCAGCAACTACAGATGCTGTTGTTGTTGTAGTTCATTTACGTTGCACTAGAGCTGCACAATGGGCTATTGGCGACGGTCTGGGAAACATCTTGAGGATGATCCGAAGAACATGCCATCACAATTTTGATTCTCTGCAGAGGTGAGGGCACCCCCGCTTCGATAGCCCGACGACCTGCACGCGAAGTCTAGCACTTTACGGTAGAACAGTTTAACGAGGACCAATAACGCACACCCTTGGTCCCTACGCAGACTGATCCAAGTGCTCACCCACCCGCACACTGATCACAGTCAGTGATGCTTGACTTCGGTGATCTGCTTGGAGCCGTGTCTTAACGATCAGTTCACTGCGGGACAATGTGGGACAGATACAAATGAAAAAGAAAATGCGCAGTGTGTGAATGATTTTACACATTGATGCGAAAATATGAAAAAGCCACCTAACTTCATGGTAATATATATAAAAACTAATCGTTCCAGCAAAGGTGAATGTCAAGTTTTTTTATTGCGTAGCAGGAAATGTATTCATACAATGTACAGGGCTGCCACTGACTAATATTTTTGGGAGGGGGAAATTCCCATTTTTCGAATGAAATCCCCAATTTGATCGAATCATAAATGTGAATTTCATTTGTTTCAATATAAAATTTAATTAGTTTGTCGCTAATATTTTCACGATATGTTAACTTTTGCAAGAAATATATTACCGATTTAACAATTTTATACTTAATTCTAATAATAAAAGAGTCTCAGTGGCTCAGTGGTAAGACACTGAACTGTTATTATGAAGAATTTGAGTGTGACCCCAGACCTGGTGAAGACTTGAAGCCCACAACCTGCGCACAACGCTGACGACACTACCATAATTAGGTTGTTGGTCATTAAATTGTGGAATCTTAACCTCCCCGACCACACAGGCTCGCAATGAACTGTTGTGCTCGCAATGTTTTATTATTTAAAATCAATGAAGTAAATAATGAGTCATTTGATAAATAAAAAATAAGAAATTAATTTGTAGGTAACATGAATAAATAATTTTTCACTATCCCATGAATCGAATAATAAATAATTAGGTAATCGAATACTGAATTATAAAAAATTTGAATTATAAAGACATAAAATGAAAAATAATCCCTTTAAAATGAATAAAAACTTCGAAAGGAGGAGGGGAAAAGGTAGTCTGACGTCACACTGACACATCAAATGAGCGATAAAGGAAAGGAAAGCGGAAAAGTTGATTGTAAAAATGAAAGAAATCAACGCGATCGAATCGCGATCTTAGTTTAGATAAATATGTTATTAACATCAAGTCCCGTAATTAAAATATTTCCTTATTTTAATGCAAGGAGAATGTTGTGTTGTTGTTCTGTACAAAAGACGAAAAAAATACAGATTTTTTGCTAATCTTTCAAATTATATAAGAAATAATTAAAATTTTAAAATTGAATAACTCCGAGACGAGTTGGAAATTTCAAAAGAAATAACAAATCATTAGTATAAACCATTGAAAAATCATTAATATAAACTATTTAATTACTTCCAAACTAATTCGAAATTTAAATAAAGTGAGACAATCATGCAATCATAATTCCCCTACTAATAGTTTACGCTAAACTGAATTACGCGGTGCAAAAAAAGAAATTTTAAGATTTGACTTACAAAAATTTTAAAACTAATAACCACATCAAAAAAATTTTCTTCAATCAGTTTTCTAAAAATGAGCAAAATCTCATATCGTTTCATGAATTACTTTTTTCGGTACGGCAGTGAGAAGTACAGTACTCTCGTTGATAATTTTCAGAAACGACGGTAATGACGGCAAAGACTATATTTTTTAATATAGAAAGATAATTAAAAGTACTAATTCAGACAAGTTTCTTCCGAGTGTAATTAAATTGATAATTTTATTTCAATTTCATGCAACATTCGTCTATATTACTAAAACTTTTTTTTCCGACTATATTACTAATTAGGATTTTTGAAGCTGAGCTAATTGGTAATCTCTAAATTTCTGATGAAACTGACTCGTTTGTATTCAGAAATAGAAGTTACTTTTGTTCATCAAAAAAGTTTGAATAAAGGTGTTACACTCAATTTTTTCCTTTTATTTTCTGACTAAAAGAAGAAAACAAATTTTCGTAAATTTGCCGACTAATAAACATCTTTGGGAGGTCATGGTGACCTCCAATGCCGGTGCCCCTGACACTGCACTCCCCCGTAGTTAGAATGTCACCCTTACAACACAACCATCTATAAGAACAGAATGCTTCAGAAAAATGCTTTGGTACCCGATGATGGTATTTGTGATGCAGCAAAAAAGGCCAAAATAATAATCACTTATTATCGCACTGAAGTCATGATAGTTGAGTCATGAATGAAATATAATAGTTGAATTATTCAATAAGTGAATTTTCAAGGCCCTGTTTTCCTTTTTGTGGGGGTAAATAAACCTCTTTAAAACGGTGCTTTCTTCAATTAATTATATATTTGGCACAAGTCCATCAACAAATAGTTTAGTTATCTGTATAAACGATATAATTTCTTTTTTTTTACTGTCTTCAGCATAATATAAATAGATTACTTAATGTCTGCCTAGAAGCTTTTATTACTTCAGGAAGGTATTTTTAACTTATTATAAAATCGGGCAACTGAATTATTGTCTTATTGTCTAATGTTTTTGTTATAAGANTACTACTACTACTACTTCCAGTCAACCTCAATCAATTATTTAGAGTTTCAAAAGAAAGGAGGTTAATATTTTGTTTACAAATATACAGAAATATTATTTATAGTTTAAACAAGAATTTATTTTTTATATATATATGACATATAGAAAGTGACAATAAATGAATTTTGAAAAGTAAATTAATATAAAGAAGAAAAAAAAGTTTAATAAGGTATTAAATAATAAAGGAAAGTTATTAAAATGTTATAATAATAAATAAAAAATTAAATAGAAAAGATATGTACAATATTTACAACATATAGGTAAGCATTTCAAAACATATAACAATTTTTTTTTTATTTAAAATTTTAGAATATTATCATTATCAGAAAGAAAATTCATTACTGATAATAATTTGGTTTTAAGTGTATTGTTGGTTATGAATTGTTTGTGCCAAGTTGGTAGATTAGTGATATTCGATGTACGAGTATGCCATGAAACTGTATAGATGCATTCAGTAAGATAGTGTTCTGGAGAGCCCAGAAGGCCGTACGTGCAGTGATCAATAAATCATCTATATAATTTCTGTTAACTTACATTCATTGATTAACTAACAACTAAAATTTTGTCAAATGGTTATATCTATATAGGCCATTTAAGGATAAAATTATTATCCTAGAATTATTATCCAAAATTGAAAAATCTAGACATCGTAATATTGGTCCCACGGTGCATGTTCTTAAGGGGCCTATATCAAGCCAATTTTGAACCCAACTTCGGCCAAAGGTAAAATTGCTGCAAGGGCTTTGCTGAAAGGAGGAAAACAGGACTTAGGGGTTCTTAGGCAGGGGAAGAAGACATAAATATTTATTTAATCATTATTAGAAAGAGAACAATATCCTTCAAGTGACACAAAATCAAAATGCGTTTGAAATAAAAATTAGAAAAAAATCTTGACAAATATTCCCGTTGATAGTTAGGTTTTATGAAAAAAAGGAAACCTGAGTAATTATAATTGGTCCATAACATAGGTCGAAGGAATAATATAGTTCACACAGTTCGGTTTAAGGGAAGACTTAAAATATTAATTCATGCATACTTGAACTAAAAATATATTGAAGGACAAGATGTGAATAATAAAGTGCGAGGAAGCATTTAATTTGGAAGAATAAACTATTAAGAAGATTTAGATAAAGAAATAACATAAAAACATTAGTTGCAGCTTTTTGTGTTACATTTATATCATAAGTAACATCAGAAAGTTCCTTTGTTCAAATCCCGGACAAAGCATGAATGTTCTTTCATTCTCTGTACTACCTGTTCTTAATATGGGAGCAACGTTGGCCCACCTAATATTTTGCCCCTGAAAAAGTGGCCAACAAGTCTGTCCTACTGATACCTAAATGACGAGTGTCAATCGGGTGGGCATTTAAAAAAGAAATAAAAGTATGTTACCATTGCTATAAGGTACCATTATTCACTCGTATTTTAGCAACAAACAGGAAAGATATAAAATTTTAAAATCTGTCTACTCACACATTATATTAATATTTGTTTGTGATTGAAACAATTCAAGTCAAAAGGAATTTTATATCTACGGAAGTTTTAACTCAGATGAAAACAAGAGAATAAACTTTTTTTAAACAATAAATACTATGATTTACAGAAACAAAGAGTTCTTTTTTGTAGAATCTTGAGGTAGGAAAAAAAAACCATCGCTAATTTTAGAGAAGAGTTTCAATTTTGATGCGCATTAAATTAGACGTCATCAGATAATAAACGACAGAAATTTCCCTCGAGTTTCAACACGAAGTAGAAAGATAAGGAAACATTACTCAGAAATTCTGTCCGACATAGTAAAATGATGATCAAATAGATTTTAAGTGCTCACGACGTTTCGCCACGTGCTGTCTTGTGTTTGATTTTGATTAATTCGTCCGTAACAAACTAAACGACTCTTTTATAAGCTTTGCATTTCGACGCTGCTGTTATTTAAATATGCAGAGCTTAAACTAAGCATTTTTATCTTAAGCATCTGAGTTGATTTTACTTAAGAGAAAGATCAAAGATGTCTCTTAATTTTAGAATCATCATTGTTGTTTCGATTTGTAGTTTCGCTTGCACAACAGCTCAAGATGCAAGCACGCTGTGTGTGAATGATCTTGTCCAGTGGTGTGGTGATATGGAAAAGCCTCCAAACTTCATGGGGAATTTTATGACCACTGATTATTCAAGCAGAGGTGGACGTCAGATTGTTCATTGCATAGCAGGAACTGGTGGCATTAACTGTACATTGAACAACTATCCGTGGTTTGCGTGTCGACCAGATGGCAGTGTGACGTATAAGAACAATGTGCTTCAGGAAGGTTCTTCGGTTCCTGATGATGATGTTTGTGACGCATCTAAAAAAGCTAGAAATATGTTTACTTACAACAGCGCTGAAGTAAAGGCTGCTATGGAAGCTGGCAGACGATCTTATGAAAGAGCAATGAGTAATGTGCGTAATACTATGAATAATATTCAAAATAAACTTTCCAGACCATGTTTTCCCTTTTGCGGACATAATCCTTTTGGAAATGGTTTCCCATTCAATGGATAACAAATGATAAATGTCCACAGAGAATTAGTTTGCATTATAAACTGTTTATTTTCCTTTTTATTGGATATTATTTAGTACTTAATTTTTTTAGTTGAAATCTTTATTAATCAGAAACCTTTTTTAGTTATTAATATCAGATTAGAAATTAAAAAATTGTCATTTTCTTTTCTATTTTTAAAATTAAAAATATTGATGCTTCTTGCTTTCAATTTTTTCAGCAATTATTGTTAAATAATGATTTAAATTTCTTTTAAAGCATTTTTTCTAAACAAATTCAATTATGAATCTTTATTTAAGTTCATTAATAATTAGGTAATTAGCAATTAAAGTTGAATGATTTTTCTGAGTAATTTATGAAGCTTTATAATATCCGAGAAATTTTTAAATAATTATAAAAATAGAAATTAAAGTTTCTTAAATATTAATGATGATAAAATTTGCAAGAAACGTTTTTTATTGCATACAGAATTTTTGAGTTACAACTATTGTTTAGCTTTTAGAATTCTATGAAACGTATTTTCAATATGACTAATTAGAGAGCTTAATTATTGTTAATAGGTAATAATCAATCAATTGGACAGTTAAAATTTTATAAAACGTTGAATCTAAATTTTTTTTAAAATATTTATTGCCTTTTCCACTGATTTTTCTGTTTTTCAACTTAAATTATCCATTGTAAAATGCTTCCCTTGACTTAAGAAATACCAAAATTACAAATATTTATTTAAGTTGGCAAAACTTAAGTAATCTTTAATTTTTGAATGACATTCAGTAAGAAGTTTAAGGTCCTTTTTTAGTAAAGTTCATAAGGTTAGGTTAAGGTAAAGTGCGTAAACAAATAAAGTGTTTTTCATGTAAACTGTGACAATTATTTGGTTTATTCTAGAATATTTTCCATTTCTCATGATTAAAATATTCGCATGCAAGCAAATGAGGGCTAAATTAAATAATTTGCATTTCGTCCAACAAATGAGGTCTGAAATTTGCTATAATAAGTCACAAAAAAAGTAGTAGCAAATTTGAAATAATGTGAAGTGGATAAATCTTTTTTACCCAGCTAAAACTGTAATTTTAAAACATTTATGTAATCAAATATCGAACTTAAGTTACATAATTCATCAACAAATTATTTTTCTATCTTTTTTTTATTTATTTTCTTCAAAGAGTAGGAAAAAAATTGAGAAACTTTTATATACATGACTGTTTTACTGCGTGAGAATATTAAACTAATTTTTCGAAGTTTTTATATATTTAAGAAGAAGAGCTTGCGAAATTTCTTTGCAATTAGTTTTTGATTAGACACTAAAGATTTATATTAAAAATCTATGGAAATTAAGTTCGATATTGCACTAATGTAATATTTAAAAACAGAAATTATGGCTAAAAGGAAAAGCTATTCACCAAACTTAATCGTAAATTTGCAAACCTTTTTTTTTCCAATTTTCATTTGAGTAGTCTATCCCTTGTGATGCTTTTATATGAATCAGTAGTATGAATCATATCAATTATATGAAACAGAATTTATAATAGCTTATAATAGCATTTATAATAGCTGAATTTTTAAAAATAATATTACTACATTCAAGCGTAAGAGAAATCAATTAAGTCACACTTTTTTAAAGGAGGTATTTTTACATTAAATTGTTCCTTAGTACATTTTACAGATACATACTTCCCAAGATACTGGAATTGCCTCTAGACAACAGCACAACCCACATAAACATTGCTTTCATGCTTACTATCCAACATTTCAGGTTTTGTGAAATATTTTGTTCAGTGGAAGCAATTTTTTTTAAACAAATAAAGAATTTTTCTAAAACTTTTATCAGAATGTAAATACCCCTTGTTTATGTTTGTTGATATATCCGCTTAAATTATTCATAAGTAGTTGCGGATGAAGTTTTTTAAATTATAATTTATTATTTAAAATTATAAATTATTTACCTTTAGTATCATTAGGAAAAATATTTTCTAAAACTACGGAAACTCCTTATTAGTCGGCAATTGGATATCGTAGTGTCATCAAAACCACTGTTAACACTTTGACGCAGAATTTTTATTAAACACATTTTTCGTATCTTTTTTCATTATTCTGTATTGATTTAGTTTGATAAATACTATATTTAGCATTTTAATAATTTATGGATTTGAAATACAGCATGAAATACTGGCGTCCTTGAATACATGAAATACAGCATGAAATACTGGCGTTAAAGGCAAAATCTTCCTTACACAGCTCACTTTAAAACTATAATTTTTCAAAAACTTTCACTTCACTGTGTAGTTATTTAAATTTAAAAAAACAGCAGTTTTCCTCATTGAAATCTCTCTAATTTACAAAATCGATTGTTGTCAAATTCTTTAAAATGAAGGAAAAAAATTAGACTTCGTTTTTTGGATTTTAAATTTTAGCACAAATATAATTCCGATAACCAAAAGCATTTTTTCAAAATAATTATTAGATTATTTTTTAAAATTAAAAGATAACAAAATAAATTTTTGCTTGTAAATAGAGAGGCAGAAAATGAAATACATAAAAGAGACACCGGTGTCCCATCTACGATAAAGGGCCAAAAAAGTACTATCCTGAACAATTTGAAAATCTGGCACATTATCTTATTAACAAAAGCCTAGTCTTACGTAGTAATAAAGTGGTTGTGATAGGATAATGAGCACACAACATATGTGTTTTTTTTATCACACTTTTACTAAAGTATCCAGTGATTTGTGCAGCCTTTGTTTCACATAAAATCCGGTACTAAAACCGTCTTTATTGTTTTACAATAGAATGGTGTGGTAACATTAGTATAATGTGATATTTATGTTCCAGGTGTGTTATTTCATTGTCTACTTCTTAGAAAAATAGATTGAACTGTAGTTCGGAGAATAAATACAGAAAGTCAGTTTTAGGGTTCTTTACGGGAGAAACCAATGATCACTTCTAAGTATTCTTAAAAAAAATCTGATTACAAATACAGCTGAAAGCATTTAAAATGTTTTAAGTATTTTAATAAGGTATTTTGTTTCTGTTTTACCTTAAATTTAAAAAAAAAAAAGGGAAAAAGAAAAAACTAGATGTGTTTATGCTAAGGAAAGAAACGAGCTAATAACCCTTTGACGCAGAATTTTTATTAAACATATTTTTTTACATTTTTTTCATTATTTTGTATCAATTTAGTGATAATAAGTGAAGTATATTATATTTATAATTTTGATAATTTATGGTAATGAAATAAAGCATAGGACACAGGGGTCTTTTTCAGCATTAAAGGTAAAACCTTCTAAACACGACTCGTTTTCAAGCAATAATTTTTCAAACATGCACATATTTCCAGTTATTTAGATCTAGGATCTAAGTGTAATTAAAGAAAGTTCATCACTGAACTTTCTTTAATTTACAAAATAAATTTATAATAAATTTTTGATCATGAATGAAAAAAAATTATAGAGCTATTTTTTGGATTTTAATGCAAATATAATTCCGATAATCAAAAAAATTTTTTAGTAATTATTAGATTACATTTTATAATTAAAAAATGCCAAAATATATATTTTCTTTTAATTAGAGCGCCAGAAAAAAATATACAAAAGGAATAATGGTGTCCCGCGTGCGTCAAAGGGTTAATCTGTGAATTAAATCTAGAATTTATAAATTAAAAGCTAATTCCTTACCCTACATACTGTTTGAAAAACTATAAGCAAATTTGAATTTTTTTCTATTGTGTAGCTTTCTTTTAATTATTTTTCAATAATTAAAAATTTTACTAAGACTAAAGCTGATTAAAATAAAAAATGCAGGTTTACACTTATTTTTTTTTTTTTCAAAACACTTAAGTATAAACCTTGCATGTAATACTATTTAGCTTCGATAATTGCCAAAAACTTGTTTTCGTGTCTATGAAGATATAAGCTTCGAAATTTCTATAATTTTCTAACTACATAGAGCGCTCTAATCTCTGCTGGTGCTACGTGCTCAGTGACAATAGACAGGGACAGTGATGACGTATTTCACCCCGCCTCCTTCCAAACGCGTTCCAAACATTTTTTCGGACGAACCATTTCAATGGCATTTCCTATGTGAATTTAAGACGGCAAGATTTTTCGTTAATTATTGAAATAAATAAATTTATATAGCGCTTCTAAGGGACATATTCCTAATTTATGTAGTTTTCATTATACGGGGTATTCAGTAGATTTTACGAGTTAAGTGCATTAAATGCTATAAAAAAAGTTTCAAAATGGTTATCTTTAATTTTGATGTATAAAAANGAGCTTATAAAGTGACAACTAAAACCTATTAAAAGTTGAATTTAAAATAAAACATTAAAAAAAAAAATTAGCAGTTTTGTTTTGACCGCATGTTTAAGAAATGAGAGTTTTGGAGGCCAACGGTATGTAAACATAAAAACACGTTTTCCTTCATATTCCCTTTGACTCTTGAGATTAAATAACCTCTTTTCTTCAATTTTTATTTTTTGTTTACTCAGTATTATGCCTGTCCTTGTCAAGGTTCACTATTTTGAATCTCTTGTAACTCCAAAACGCTGGTGTTGGAGTTCTAAAATTTGGACATTAACTACGAGGAAGCAATTTTAGTTCCCGATTTTAAAAAATAATTTAAAAATTCTAAATAATCCGTTCCGGAGCGATGTTGTAAAAATGATGATTCCGCTTTAGTTTAACATTAACCATTGTCATAAATAAAAGTGTTCGCGATTTTGTTTAAGATTTCATTGCACGATCTTTAATGTTTAATCATTTTTAACAAATTCAGTCATCAGTGTGAATAGCATGTAGATCGGTTGCGTTCGACGCGTCACCAGCAAGTATTTTTCTTACAAAATAAACCTCTAGATTGTTTGTAATCCTTTTCTAGGGAACTGATGAATCCTATCAAATTACATATCATTGTTTTATTTAGGTAAATGCCAGATTTGACTGATAAAGTAAGATACTTTCGACTTATATTTCTTTCCTCGGTCTAATGCGCTTGTCAACTATAAGAAAAAAACTTAGAGTACTGTAATTATTTTAATTGTGGCTATACATATTTATTGCTG